AAGCAGTGAAAGCAATTGGCAGCTGGGACTCTTTCCTTAGGCGTGGTATTTGGAGGGAGGCAGGGAGGGCAGCCCAAAACATACAAGAGAGACTGTAAACTCATTCACTAACCAAACTGAACGGCTGGGCTCAAAAGAGATGAAGTGGATAAAGACATTTCATAGAAAAATTTTGGTTTCTTTGCCTGACAGTCTATCCAAGAATACATATGGCTTGTAACACCATGTATGAAATTACCGCAAGCGCGTGGTTCATTTTTCTTCCGAAGATATCCAGAAGCACTGCCATCTTTGTTTTACAGAAGGGGAATTATGGCAAAGAGCCCAGATGACATGCCCAAGTCTGCGACAGCAGTGGGAAATGGTGCAGACTTCTCCTCACCGTTTCAGATGCCGTAACCGCAGAATCACAGTTCCTATCCTAAAAATTAAAATCAGTGTTTTCTTAGTAATGAGTCTGAGCCACAGTACGCAAATGCTGATGACAGTTTTGGATGCCTGGCATCTAAGGCATTCAGTGCATTACTTCAGTGTGATTCATCACAAAGGATGAGTCCAGCCACAACACTCAGACACAAATTTTCAATTTGTGAAGCAGTGAGTACCAAAACGCAGGTTCTGACAGCACCAGCCCGACGTGGCACGGTGTCTTCTGTGCCAGCATTGCCTTTAGAAGATAAAAGCCTCCAAACAACCGATAACAACCTATATGTTCATGAGCTGTTTGTAAGACCTCCTCGGCCCATTCTGAATAGGTGCCGTCACCAGTAACAGTACCTACGCAGCAGTAACCTCGGCCCTCATGAGTTTTTAGGCTCAGCGCAGTAGGGAGGAAATGCCACTAGCACAGCCACTACAAGATTATCCAGAAGAGGGAGTGCATACCATGCACACACGTAAATCAGTATTTTGCTGCGCTACGTCCTCAAACTCAATGCAGGCTCTGCAAACATTCAGCCCAGTATTAGACTCAGCCATATGCTTCGTTCCACATACAGCTCCGAAATACCTGCCACACAGCTCATCCAAAAACACGCCACCTCTCTGAGCTGTGCGTCTGCAGCTGGAGATTTTCTTGCTTTCTTTTTCTAATTTGAAAATCCTTTTTTTTTTTCCCCTTTTGGTAAGCTTCTTTTACAGGTTGGACTGCTAGTCAAAGTTATTTTCTCAAGCTACCATTTCAATAAGCTTGGTTCCAAGTCCCTTTCTATTGTTGCTGCTCCCTGATTTGATAAGTAACTCATAAGAAATGGTGCAGAATGCAAATTCAGAGTTAACTGCTCAGAAGTATTCAAGAGTGAAGCTTATAAATTCACTTTCTGTGAGCAGTGGCATTTTCCGAGTAGAACTTCCACTTATGTTTATCTGGTTTTACAACAACAGACCAAAACAGTACCGACACAGCACTGTAGGTGCCCTTGATGGTTAAAAACATAACCAACCACAAGAACAAAGCCACAGGCAAAATCCACCATGCACAGTAATTAACTGGTTAGAGCTAGATTATGGAAAGGCAGCAAGAAATGAGCAGGCTTATTAAGAGAAGTTGATTTAAACTAACAATTCTGATAATTTTTTCTTAAGGTTTACCCTACTCTTACGTTTCTACTTGCACATGTCTCCTCCTTCCCCCTCAATCTGTTAAATATCCTATTGAGCAGTATTCTGTCCGTATTGGACTAAAATTCTGACCTTGGTTTGACCTTTTTTTTGTTGTTTATTTTCTGTCCTTCATTCTTACAAAAGAAAAAAATCAGTGACATTCACATTCAAAGACAGATTGAAAGTCTGTACTAACTTTGTTTAGCTCTCAGTAATAGTATTAATAGTAATAACAGGATTCCTAAGAATGAATTATTACCTGGTTTTATGTGTTTTTCTTACCTAATCTTTCTCACTTTTTTTTGCTGTCTTTTTATAGATTATCAAGAGCTTAGTACTTTGTTGACTTTCCATATTCACTAAAAATAAACTTCAAGGTCATTGTAGCTACAACTGATAAATACTTTTTGTTATTATGTAAGTAACTTCCACACTGGTGCAGTGAATAAGATTTTGAAAAGTTAAAAATGGAAGAAAGCTCCTTCTCTGTGCTGGCTTATTGAGCAATTCCAAAAATTTCTTTAAAAGTCACTGCTGTAATTTAAATTATCAGTACAATCTACTGCTTTATCTTACAGTACCCTTTCTCTTTCTTCAGAAGAAGCAAAATAACAGCTATAGGTAAAATTCCTGCTTATCTTTAATAAGTTAACTAAGTGAGAAAGTCACGGTAATAACTTGCAATTTATAAACATGGTTTCGGCTCTGATACCAAGCCCTGCAAAGTTTACAGCTCAGGACCAAAGTGGGTTCATCCAACCTCCGAGCACACGAGAAGCCAAAGGTGCCTGAGGACCACACACGCTGGCATGCCCAGCAAGAGCTGCAGCGCAGGCATCACGCCAGGTCTCAGCAGCAAGAGTGTAGGCTGGAGAGGAGATAAACCCCACTCTGTGACTGTTTCTTTACCATTTTAAAAGGCCTAAGTCAGGTCAGTAGCTTTGACGGAAGAGAGTCCCCTAAGAACATTTCAGTAGAGACACACGAGTAGATTTTGTTCACCAATGCTAAGTCATTCCGAAGGACTGAGCACACACAATAATTTGCACCACAGTGCTTGGCAAAGAGAGTAGCTTATGCTTAATAGCGTTCTTAAAGACTAATAAACCACTTAATACTTTGCATTCAAATATACAGTAAAGTCATCTGCAGTAGCATTCAACTGATCAGTTTTGTTAACTGAATCAACCCTGTGCTGTGTTTGCACACATCCTGTGCAGGATGGAAGTTTAAAGCACTGCTGCTAACAAAGTCTGAAAAAAACCATCCTCTGTTTATATGTATCCCTTATTCAAACAAAAGCAGGGAATGCCAGTTAATGACGCTGTAGATTGAACGATTAGTATCAATAAAAAGAGTTATGGAAAGTGGAAGATGATGACAAAACTAGAACCCAGTGCCAGTGTGCTGAAAGCCTAGCATAGAGCAATGAATTACCCTCACCTAACTTTGATTTCTTCAGGGTCCTTCAAATTTCCTGTGAGGGGGAAAAAAAACCCTTCTGTTCCTGTTTACCACATTTCTGGACTGAAGCATGGAAAAAAAACCCAAGAAGCTACACCATATCTCCTTGTTACAAAGCAGCAATTCATTAAGCTTACCTTAGGAGTTGAAGCTCCCTTGTACAGTCATTAAGGCCTCCTGAGTTATTCAAAGCATCTAACTTAGAGATTTCTCTCCCTCCATTAAGCCCAAAGGGTGTCTTCATTCCTAGGTTAAAGCAATACTTTGCACAAATATTTATAAAATAGTTCTCTGAAATACCTTTCAACTTTGACATCCTTTAATTTTCTTCCTCCATGAGTTTTTCCAGGGATTTGCATATTCATGTTGGAAACAGGAAAATTTTTATATTTATATACCTGATCTGATAAAACAGTTCCTTTCCTGTAGGATTTTTTTTAATAAGTATGCACAATGTTGTCAGAGTAGCTATCAAAATAAGATAACGAAGTATTCAAAAGCCCTGGGCCCCTCATTTCAAGCCAACAAAAAGATACCAACACTGAGAATCTTTGTTTTGTCCTGCTTTTTCAGAAATTGTCAAGAAAACTTCATGTTTGTAACGAGCTTCTTAGCACATGTGAGGTCCTACATGTATGTTTTAAGAAGGAGCTATCAAGACTTTGGCACACCTTCCTTGCCCATTACAGTCTCCAAAGAGGCAGCACACAGAAAGGCAGTCCCATGAAAAGACAAGGAAGAAAGAAAACCAACAGAAAAAGCCTCGTGTACAGTTGTTTGCGCAACACCTGTTTCACATGTTTGGAAAGACCACCAACATCAGATGTGATAGTGTTTTCGGAGTAGTGAGGGGTTTTTTTATTATTTTTTTAAAGGAGGGACTCCAAAAACCCAGATTTCTTATTGAGTTTGTCTGGGGAGTTTTCAGTAGATCGTTTGCTAATGTGCTGTCTTCACAGTGACAAAGCTTTATGACCAAATCCTATGGAGAAGTATAGTTACCCATTTCACAGCCAGCAACAGCCATGTTCAGCGCATTCAGCCAAGTGGACCTCAGCCTTAAAGCTCAGGCCCCAGAGCAACAAACTAGAACAACTAGCATTTCAGTACTCCAAGTAATTTTGCTAGTTCAATTTTACAGGAGATCTTTGACTTTAGCAGAAAGTGTCTTCTCTTGGCGGAAAAACCGCACAGTTCTTGCAAACTACCAGTTCAGCAATACAAATATATTTGTGGAGAATAAGGAAGCAGCAGAATAGGGAGCCCACCAATCCTTTTTTTTTTTTCCACAGCAGTGCACAAGGCCCATTTGAGCATATTTCTGTAACGATCTGCTGTGTAACAATGGCACTGACAAATGCAGAGTCTGCACCCTTCCAGGAGCAAAAGCCAAAATATTCATCACATCTTTAAGAAGGAGGACTACATCAGAATGGGTAAGCTTATTAAAAATAGTGAACAGGCCAGCTAAGAGAAATCCTTGAAGGTGTTGTGACAACTTAAGAGCACCACACTGGAAGTACAAAGCAAATGCTTATCAAAAAGACATGAGAAAAAGTGAAAAGGCGGCGGCATGGCCAACCAGCAGAATCAGGGAAGTTATTAAGCAAGCACCCTTCAAAATGCTGAAGTCAAGTACAAAGAAAAAATCAGGAAGAAGTACAAACTTCGGCAGGTTAAATGCAAGAAAACAGTAAGGCAAGCCAAAAAAAATTGTTTGAGCAACAATTTGTAAAAGGCAAAATTAAATCATCTTTCAAACGGATTAAACAGGATGCCTGCTAGAAAGACTGCAGGGCCAAAGGATGACTGGGTATCACATGAATGCTCAAAGACAGTATGCACACAGGAAAAGAACTGAAGTGTTCCTGCATTTGTTGTAAAAGATACTGAAGAGGTCCTTCTGCTGGAATCTTCCTTTTTGAGGAACTCACCTGAGGAGCTGCTCCAGATAAGGGGTCAGTAGAAGAGGCTGCCAAATGGGGAGTGACAAGACATCAGCACCAGATGGGATTTGCCCAGGAGTTCCTAAAAGAAAGGAGATAGTAATCCATTGAGTCCATCATTGAAATCCTTTAGAATCTGACTAGAAACTTCTCTCTTGAAACTGGAAGATCGGGAAGCGGTACGTAACACACTCATTTTTAACACAGGTTTTAGGAGAGGTCTGGAAAACTACAGATGAGCACATCTGACATCTGAATTGAACAAATTACGCTGATCTACAATAAAGAATAGAATTCATGGACGCTTGGATAAATATGACACACTGAAGAATTAAAAGCTTTCAGTTTTAGGACTAAGACCTTTCAGAGTATCTAAAGTCTAACAGAAGTCAATGTAAGGCGCAGAGCTCTTGTGGTCACATTGCTCTTTCATGCCTCTCCTCAACTGAGGATGGCTGGGGATTGTTAACAGACAGATTTTATGTATTTTCCAAAGGTAACCCCCAAGTAAAAAGACTTTTACAGTAGTACACTCTTGAAGTGAAAAGGATAAATTAGAAAGACTAGACTGAAATAAAGCATGCTTTCTTCTTCTCCACTGCCTTAGCCTGGCAGTGTTGCAGGCGTTGGTTTTAATGTTTGACTTTGGAAGCTTCATGGTAACCACATACCAGTGCTATTCAGTGAATCATGCCTCTCCAGTTACTTTCAAATACGTATGCGTGTGCAGGGTTGTTTTTCAAAAGACTAAGCTCCTTCGGTACTGACCCATCTGTTCTGTCCCATAACATTGTCTACAGCAAGTTCTGTCTTTTTTGTTGTGTGCAGGGCAATTAAATGGACTTAAATATGAAATACGTTGGTCCTGGAATTTATTCTGGTTTGAGGGCTTGGGTTTGTTCCCCACAAGTTATAGCAAAACATTAGGTCTTTCTTTTTTTTTTGCGCTTTGCCCTAGCCATGCTTATCACCCAGGAGACACATTCAAGATGAACTCTTATGTTGCTCTTCAAAGTATCCATCAGGATGATTACATCATTAGACAGCTGCTCACAGCAGCAAGAGATTGCTGGAAACGGACCTGTTCAACAGTTACGTTACAAATAATCTGGCGGTTTAGTAAAACCCCAAGCTGATGTGTAGCATCACTTTTGTAAATCCGACTCTAGGACAAGGTGATTACACTTGGTCAATTCCTTCTCTGCTGCCCGATCTAAAAATCATAGCAAAATTGGTCCATGAAAATAAGTCAATTTATAACCCTCTCTTCCAATAGGTCTTAGATATCAATCTGAAATCGCTCTCATTTATTCTGTGTAGTCACACTTCAGTTCTCTTCATTTTACATGGATGAACTGCAATTAGTTAACGGGAGGGGAAAAAAAGTATAAACTCACTCACCGCAAGACCAATATTGTTACATCCAGGATGTTGAGAGCGCCTGACTCCTTTTATAGTCCTCCCTGTGTCTGTGTGTAAACAGTTTTATTGACTGTTGCAATGACATAGAATTAAAACACCCTATAAATTTTCATGTGACTCTATCTCACCTGCTATTTGGAACAAAAAGGGTATGGGAAGAAAAATACTGAGGAAGTTACTCCTGTCATTAGAAAAGAGACTAATTAGAGTACAAGCCTACAAACCCTTAGTCATGTGAGTAATCCTTTCTTCTGCAAATCATTTTATTGACGTCAGCAACACTCCTCCTGTGAGGAGGAATTACTTACATGACCAAGGGCTTGCAAGATTAGGTCCAAACATTATTCCACAAAGTCTCTGCACGTCTCCAAGATTATCTTAATTATTTTGCCCTTTATAAAGTACTCATTCAAGTGAAATCTCCTCTGATAAATTCAATTTCCACTCTGAGTTTTCTGTTAACTTTCTAACGGTTTTTAGTTATTTTCTTACAGTCAGCGATGTGCACAGAGACCTGAGGTTTAATTCTGTAACTTAAGGCAAACCTGTTGCTAGAATGGTTTACACCAAACTCCTGATGCAAGACTGTTTGTTCGATTTTATTTTACCATTACAAAGTACCAGAGTTCATATACTGTCTCTCACTGAATTCAGCCTATCTCCATGTCCCTTGAATTGCTTGATGTAAGATTCCAGTGTCAAATTATTGCATCATAAATGCAGAAATCTGGCTTGCAGAAGCCTTTAAGGCTGTTAATAACAAAAAAGGTCTCCTTTTCCCGTACCATTTCAATCATCCTATGCCCTCATAGAAGAGAAAAGACCATCTCTATTGTAACTGCACTTAACACATTTCGGTAATGTATCATCATAATAAAGTCACATATATGAACACTTTCTCTGAATGTTTAGCCTTGACCCCATCTTACACTATTTTATTATGAACTATATAGCAATATATTTAGCAGCTCATCACCAGAACATGAGCTCCATAGTGTATCATATGACTTTTATTATGCACAATGGAAAAGAAAGATAGCTTTTTTAATTTAGAAACGCTCTTCTTTGGCACTTGTTGAAGTAGTGTTGGCCCATAAAACTAGGTGTATTAAATTATTCATCTACCAGAATATCATCACAGAGCAAATGATATCAAAGTGTTCACACTGCGGCAGCACCTTGAACCCTCTCTCTTAGGCAATAAAAGGGAGCTGCTGGACACCTCCTTTTGCTCTGGCCTCCCATCTGGACCTGGGCATTAGATCTATAGATGTGCGCATGTTCAGTGCCTCTGTACTGTGCAGTCAAGTGCACTCCTTTACTAGGAAATGGGAGGATTTTTAGGTCTCTCCTCCTCTCTCCTGCTGTACCAGCATTCACTCAGTTCCCCACTGCCAAGTTTAGGATGCTGGGGAGAAACTCAGAGCTCATGTTAATGTGGAAGAGTCAAAGTGCTCCCAGAGCCCGTTTTAAAGTGCGGAACAGAGAGCTTCTCTGATGGATCCTCCAGACCATATCTTACATGGCCTCACAACAGTGAAAGCAGCAGAAGATGGGCTTTTGTGGTCTGCCTTGTTTTAAACTTGATAGAAAGAGGAAAGCACCCACGAGCATCTCTTACCAAGTCTTTCTCTGATCTCCGTTGCTCTCCATGGCCAAGCAAAAAAAAAAAAAAAACGTGCTGACCAAGCTCAAGCTAGACACTCCACAGCTCCCTGCTTTCCAGCACAGCGTTGACTACAGCTCTCGTACAGCTAAGGCTTGTGACAGAGAGAAGCTTGCATCAAACCACCAAATAATCATTTGGACTCCAGATTCGCAGTGGGAAATAATCTCAGTTATTACTCCAAACCTAACGCTATTTCTAGACATACCATAATGCATACACTGTGCTCCAGGCAAATTCCACCGCATATGGGGTATTAAGCTGATGAGCATTCAGACGCCTGATTTTTATACTGTTCATTCTGAAGGGATAGAATTTGCATGGGTGTTTCGGGTACGAGCCCATCTATCATTTCTATAATGAAGGAGAAACAGGAAAAAACAGGACAAGAAAAAAAATAAGAAAAAAAATCAGTAGACCCTTCAGATAAAGCTTTTAGAACTATACAGAATTGAAAACAAACATTTAGACCAGGTCAGAGCGTCAGGCCATCAGAGCAATTCCTTCATGTAAAAAAAAAAAGTTCATTTTTTTCAGTGAGTAAGGAGAAATCAAAGATTCCTGCAGGAGAAATTTAAATCTTTCTTTGAAAAAAAACAAAAAGTCATCTCTGTGGATGTTTACGTAAAGGTCTTACTGGTATTGTTCCTCTCTCCTTCCTTCGTTTTCCTCCTACATGGAGGAAGAAACTAATACTAAAGCTAGCAAATCCCCCACCAAAAAAAAAAGCAAAAAAAAAAAAAGCCTTTTGGTTCTCCCAAGTAAACTGCCTGAAATCTAGAGATCCATTGCCACGCTTTTCTTTTAAAATCTAATTTTGGCCCGAATCAGGACAGAAAGCAAAAAACATTAAAACTACCATCTGAGAAACATAACTTCTGAAAAACAAAGCCATTCGCATAGGCCTGGAATCCCTCGCGCCAGCCAGCTGCCGTAGTGTCACCAACCCACCTCTTCTTGCAATTCAGCATCGACGCTTTTTCAGCGTTCATGCGCGAATAAATTCTCTAAGAGCAGTTGAACACAGTAGGCAGAGCAAGCGCCGAAAACACCTGCGCTGCTAGCAGGGCCAGTCTTTGAAGTCTGCTCACAAACCTTACATTTCCAAAGAGCAAAACTGCAAAGATTGTAGTTAACGTTGTTTCTGCATTCATTAGGGCTTGAGGGTTTTGGCAGGGAGGGAGAGATGAGAGGCAGAATGAGGGGTAAAGAGACTTTCCTCTCAATAACCAACAATTTTGCAGTCTGAGAGTGGAAGACAGCAGCTCAAGGGCAGCACAAATGCCATCCCTCTGACAGTGAGGCAGCCCGGACCACAGTGTCACACCTCTCTCATCCCATGCAAAGTCATTTTTCCTAGTCCTATTCCTCAGCGATGCTCCGCAGAAGTTTGGTATTCCCTCACTTTTAGCATAAATTATTTACAAAGTAGAAATAAATATCGAGGAAGCTTCAATCATGGGAAGTTACTTCTACAAAAGCAATGAACCCCACTGCACTTGAGGTTTTCTGCTTGGCTTACTGTTGTGCAGTATTCAGTTCAGATTCAGGTCTTCTTTGCCAAGTAGAAAGATAAGCACACAAACCTGCCTACGAGCAAGAGGGAATGAGTAACCACAAGGCGTTTAACATTTTTCTTTGAGGAATCCCTACTTAGAAGGGACGGGACTGGCACAGAATCACCGCTAAAATGAGTTTCTCAATTACAAAAGGATCCACGAGTGCAGCACGGGCGCTCAGCCTCAGCGCTTGCAGGAACAAAGCCATTCCCAACGCAGAGCGCTTTCTTGTATCAGCCAAATGGTTTTCCCTGTGCAGGTGTACTTGTCGTCCTTAAACCAAGTGCACATAGGGCAATTTTTTGATCTTCAGGAGCGACTGCTGGTATGCTGTTGGTGTACAATAGCGAGCAAAGTAAATATTGGCTAATATCACAGGAGGAAAAAGCAGCAAGGCTTAATCCTTGCACATGCAACTAAACACACCAACTTCTC